GAGCCATTGTTTGAGGCTTCCAACCAACAATATTTAGGTTTGAGTGTGTGTGGAAGTTGCGCATAAATCAGGCTTCTTAACAAAATGAGTGTGGACTGAGTGAGAAGTTGGTTCGGTTAAGTGCTTTTATGTGCCTCGAGTGAATGAGGACTTATAATTCAATGTAACTTTGTATGTTTTTGCCTAAACGTAAATGAAAGAGAAATGGAAACTAAAACAAGAAATAGAATGCAAATGATTTTCATGATTAAGCCGAGATTACAAACATTTATAAAAGTAAAATCTAAGCCGATAGGCCAAGCTACAAGACTTGAAATGTAAATTGACTAGAAATATATATAAAAAAAAAAAAAAAAAACTGTAAAACTCTAGAAAGAATCAGGCGGTGGAGGGGGCAATAAAGCTAGAGAAGTTCACCGAGATCATTGGTATCAGACTAGACTTTAGAAAAAACATGTGCCTCAGAGAGGAAATCAAGGTGGTTGGAATTGCATGTCAATTGAATTGATGAGTATATTTTATATTATATATTTTACCCTAATCTTAGTATATTTTGGTTAATATTTTGGAAGAATTTTGATACTTTGAATTGTATTTTCAATATAGGACTTCCGACTTCCTCTGGAGAAAAACAGGACCAAATGGACGAATTTTGGAGTAATTCTAGTTGGAAGACGTTCGTGAGTCACTTAGCTTGATCGTATCAAACTTCGGGATTTTTCCACCAAGTGGTTATTTTCTGGCGATAAAATAAATGAGCGATGCGCAGTGCTGGAAAATGACGTTTTTGTGCTTAAATTGCGTTTTTGGACTCCAAGATGACCTCGGATGGGTTCGTGACCTTCTGGAGAAGTGTTCAGAATATTCCAAACATTAAATCCAGCTATATTGGGCCAGTTTTGGAGCAGCTTATGGGTCCAAAACGTGGCTGTTCAGATTTTAGGCGAATTTTACCATTTAATTTAGGGTTATGTTTTTTATTTTATTTTATTATTAATTTTAGTTTCCTAGGGGGAATAAAGGACCTGTTTTTAGGGTTTTGTGTGGAGGCTTAGCAGATATATTGCTTGGCCCAGTTTTTCTCTACGCTTTATTTTATGCAATTTTGGAGACAGCGAGAAGGGCTAGGGTTTTGGAGATTTTCTACTTGAAGGTGTTTTCAATCCTTTTCTTAATAATATTTTCTATGATTTCAATTATGAATATGCGTAACTAATTTCTTTTGCTAGGGCGAAGCCTTGAGCCTTAGCATGAATATGTGATTTTTATTTAATTGCTTATGATTGATTGCATGCACACTTTAAATTATTAATCACCGGGATTAAAACTATCTAATTGTCTTAATGCCTGATCACCATTAGGATCTTTAGAAAAGTAATTTGATGCAATTTTGGTCGAAGGGTTCCCTGAAATTGACGCTGGCTTCTTGTGATTAATAATTGTAATTTCACTTAGGATGAATACCACGTCTGAAGGATTGCATGGTTTTTCAAAGGATTTTCATAAAGCATAATGAGTCTTTCATGTTCAGATTTGATCCGAACGACCGAACGGGTTGCATACGTTCTATGTTGGAGGTTCCAAGTAGAATATGAAAAGGAAAATCTAACCTTCAAAGTGGCATGTGTAGATCATAAGTAATTGGTAAAAGTTTATAGGATTGCTATGTGATGGTGAAACCCTACTGTTTTCTTAATTTGATTCTCCCAAAACTGTTTCTTTTCTCTCTAGTTTTAATATTGTAGATTGTCTTATCTTTAATAGTTAAATTCGTTTTTAATTTAAGTAGGTTATAAAATCAATCATCTCAACTTCTACGTTACAATAATTAAATGGAATCTGATTAGTTTCGAATTATTTAATAATCCCTGTGGAGACAACCTTACGAGATCCGTTTATACTACAATAACCTTGTGACTCTTGCAAGTAAAATAGAAGATTTAAGCCCGTTCACATGAGTAGTAAAAATCCTATCAAGAAAATGGCGCCGTTGCCGGGGATTATTTAAAATAATTCCATCTAATCAGATTGTCAATTAGTTATTGCTGTTAATACATATAAAAAAAATTAATTTTCATTTTTATATTAGTTTTACAGATTACAATAGTACAGCAGTGCAGATTTCAGAAATCTGTGCATGGTCAGCACCCGTTCAACTGTGCAGAAATTGATTCCACTTGATCCAGAACTTGAGCAGAATTGAAGGAGGAAACGCAGGGAGCAAATTTTGCAGAAGGTTCCTCCTCTGCAGGGAACTTTTCTACAGTCTTTAAATTTTGGAGACCTGCACAGTAAAGAAAAAATGGCATTTGTAATTCCAGAGGTTGGTCTGCTCCTGGGTGATTCAGTGACAACCCATACCACAAATATACCAAGTTGTATTACTTATACGGCAGTGGAGGAAGGGTCTATATTTGAAATAAAGCAGCACATGTTGAATATTCTACCTACATTTCATGGGTTATCATCTAATGATCCAAACATGCATATTGCAGAATTTTTAATGGGGTGCAAAAAATATTTTGGTGAGAGGATTTTCAGTCGAATCTATTAAGCTCCGTTTATTTCCTTACACTCTGAAAGATCAAGCAAGGAGATGGTTTCTCACACTCCCATCTAGAAGCATTACGACTTGGGCCCAACGTAGTGAAAATTTTTTAAACAAGTATTATCCAGCTTCAAAGACTCTTGATATGAGAACTCAGATTTTATCATTTGCCCAAAAACCAAATGAAGAGTTTCATGAGGCGTGGGAACGGTTCAAAGAGTTGATTAGAAAATGTCCACATTCAGGTATTAACACTACTGATCAAATGCATATATTTTTCAGAGGGTTGAATATGACTACAAAAACTCTTGTCAACGCTTCATGCGGAGGTTCGTACAAAGATAAAAATGCACAAGAGGCTTGTTTGTTAATTGAAAAAATGGCAGCAGATACACAACAGTGGGCAGTTGAGCAGCCACAATCTAGGTCTGTTTTTGAGATGTCTAATGGTTCACCATATGTGTCGGCACAAATTGAAAAAATGGAGAAAAAGCTTGAAAGATTTGATGCAAAATTTGACATGTTATTACAAAGAATTTTAGGTTCACAGGTTGCTGTACAGCAGCCTTTACAAGCTGCCTGCAACATTTGCAGCTTGACAAATCATGATTTTTTGAGCTGTCCATATAAAGATGCTTATCCGGAATTTATAGCGAAGCAGGTTAATTCATTTAATAATTTTCAACGTCCCAGATATGACCTGTATTCAAATGTCTACAACCCAGGTTGGAGAGATCATCCTAATTTAAGTGGGACAAAGATCAGCACTCTAGGCCTCAATTTCAAGAGCAGGTGCAGCAACTTGCTGCACCTAAGGCTGCTTGGGAGGTTGCAATTGAAAAATTAGCAAATACTACCACTCACGAAATCCAAAATTTGCATGCATCAATGAAACATATGGAAAAACAAATTGGGCGAATTGCTTTGCAGGTTTCAGAAAGAGCTCCGGGTACATTTCCTAGTCAAACAATACCTAATCCAAGAGGATGAGAAGAATGCAATGCTATACAGACTTTACGGTTTGGCAAAAGTTACAACAGACATGAAAATTCTGTTGGAAATTCGCAGGCAGCAGAACAACCCCAAACTAAATCTGTAGTTTTTGCAGATTCTGAAATTTCTGCAGATTCTGGGCAGTCCCAAGACAGATCCGAAAATACTGCAGAAGCTACCACATAAACTGCAGAACGTGTTTACGAGCCTCCTATGCCTTATCCAGAAAGGTTGAGACCTAAAGCTAAAGATCAACAGTTAACAGATTTTATGAAGACTTTGTCAAAAGTTCAGATTAATCTACCCATTAATTGATGCAATCAAGAACATTCCATCTTATGCCAAATGTTTGAAGGATGTTTGCACAAAGAAAAAGAAGCTCGTTGATTTTGAAAAGTGATTCTTACAGAACAGTGCAGTGCAATCCTAGTGCTTAAATTACCTCCAAAGAAAAAAGATCCAGGGAGTTTTACTTTCTCTTGCACCATTGGAAATTGTGATTTTAGTAGTTCTTTAATTGATTTAGGTGCAAGTGTAAACTTAATGCCTTATTCTGTTTTTAAACGTTTAGGTGAAGGTGAGCTGAAGTCAACCTCCAGTATTATTCAATTGCCTGACCGTTCAATTACCTACCCTAGAGGAGTCATTGAAGATGTTATTGTGAAGGTTGACAATTTATATTTACCGGCTGATTTTATGGTGTTGGACATGGATGAGGATTCGACAACACCCATCATTTTGGGCAGCCCATTTCTGGCAACAGCCCGGACTCTTATTGACGTTGAAGCCTGAACATTAACATTCTGGGTTGAAGATCAAACTGCTGTTTTCAAGTTGTTTGAAGCAAGCATACATTCAGGTGACAAGCAAGAATGCATGCGTGTTGATGCATTGGATGGTTTACCAAGTGCCGAGTTTATGAGCAGATCATCAACTGACCATTTGTCCATAAAGCCTTCGAATTTGACTCGTGATTGCGTAAGTCCTAAACCACACCAGCAAAGGGTGCTACATGATGACCAGCCAATTAACACTATGAAAAAACATGAAAATTTACCACGCAGCCCAGATGTTAAGAAAATACAGCCTGGTAAAAAGGTGTGGCTGTTGAATACCAGTTTCAAGTTAGTTCCAGCGAGACAAGAATCTCGGTGGAAAGGCCCTTATATGGTTAAGCAGGTTTTTCAAAACGGTAACGTGGACATTGAACCAGAGGGCAAAGGTTGTTTGCTCAAGGTCAAGAAATATCAACTAAAACCATGCATAGGGAAATTTGGTGAAAGCGAGTCTTTGACTCTGAAGGCACCAGTGATCTAGCCACCGGAGTTCTGCAACGTCTAGCTACAGACTTAAAATAAAGCGCTTGTTGGGAGGCAACCCAATTTTTCTAAACTCTTTCCTTATTTTATTTTTTTCGTTTGATTTTTTTTATTATAAGTTAAATTTCTAGATGCATATATATACCTAAGTTTTCAAAAAAAAAAAAAAAAAAAAAAAAACCATGAAAAATCAAAGAATATGTCGCTTTCTTTATTTATGCATGTTGATTTTAGCTCCATTTTTAATATTCACATTTATTGGTTAATTGCAGGTTGAAAACATGGAAAATAAAGAGCATCCTATACTAGAATCATGCACCCAGCAGCAAGTCTATATTAACATCAACCACATCTACACTAAGCTGGAAATTTAAAACAGTCAACATAAAGTCATTCACAGATGCAAGTTTGGGGGTGATTGTTGCAGATCCAACACATAAACATAATTTTGAGAACTTAATTTTCTGCAGCTCAGTTTTGGGATGCATAGAGGAGAAGCAAAGTTAAAATCACAGCTCCATACACCACAGAATTGAATACAACTATTATTACCAGATCTACAACAACTTCACTTGCAGGGATTCAGATTTTACCTCCCAGATGCACCAATCTGGGTCATGCGGCCTGTGCTGTTTTCGTCCGTTGAGCTTGTGTGTTTACTTTTGTTTCCTTGGCTCTATCATGGATCCGTATACCCCTACATAAAGAGCAAAAAATATGAGTACATATAGGATAAATATGGCATTATAATGAACTATCGTTGAACATGTAAATGTTGAGTTTAGCTACTGCAGAAGAGCGAGATCTTTACCTTTATGATTTGCAGAGGCCGAGACATTTGCCATTTATTTTGCCTTCTGGACCATTAGACCGGCAGCTTAAGCTTGTTTTCTCTCGGTTGTACGCTGGATTTGGGTGTCATTTTTTAGTCCCAGTAGTAGTTTTATTATTCAAATATCAGATCATCGTCAATCACTCAAAAGGGTTACGGGTTTTACCTCAAAATTTGCAGATCCGTGAGTTTGGGAATTTTTTTTTGAGTTAGTCTCTTCAGTCTCTTTGTAAATCTCAGGTACCTACTACAGAAGAACATCACTGTAAGCTTCTATATAGACTCATCACGACAATATAGCTTTGAGAGATTTTTCGCAAGCTAAGAGACATGCATATTGAACCAAGTGGGAGATGATTACCGTTGCATGTGTGCAATGGTCTCGATCTGCATGCTTAGAACTCGAATTTGTGATGGCTTGAGGCTTGGGAGACACATGATTTGGTTGAGAAGAGATGGCGACTCAGGGTGTTGTTCTTGTGTTATTGTCTCATATTTGAAATTATTGGGGGTCCTCAAACAGATAACACCACATGCATGTGTTATATTTTGTACATTTTCCTCAAATAAATAAATCTGAACAGGAAATCAAAAGATTTGAGAATGATTTACCTTTCGCATTGCAGTTTTTCAGATTTCCCACCAAGGCTAGGTATTCACGGAGGTATGGTTGTTGCTGGGTTATGGAAGTCTACGGATGCAGTGTTTAGGGGGTAAGAAGAAGCTGCAATGAATGAGGAGGTTAGAAATGTGAGAGAGCTGGGGTCTAAGCGAAACGAGAGGAGCGGCTCGGGTTCTCACAAATGAGAGAAAACTGAGAAGACAACGGAGAGCTTAAAAAGACTTTTCAGATTTTCAAGAGAGATAAGGCAAACTCTTTCCATTTTGGAGATCTAATTTTCATTTTAAAGAGATATGGGGTCTGAGAGCAAAAGAGAGAGTGGGTTGAGGAAAATGGGAGACTTATTTCTGACATGGATGTACGTTTGGGTTTTTAGTGAGAGAGGGTTGGAGTTTCTTGAAACGAAAAAAATAATAAAAATTAGAAGGGAGAGAAATGGGTGCATCTGAGCCTTTCTTTTAGAATCCTAAGGAATTCATCATATGGATGCGTGACATGTGGCCTGTCATGTCTGTTGGGATAGGGACATTTTCAAAATGGGAGACAGGGAGCCGTTTGGTGGCTCATGGATTGAGGCTAGTGAAACGGAATCCTATGGTGCTCGGGTTTTTTAATTGACAAATGCAGCTGCTGCCCCAGCTTATATTGTAATTGTTGCTAGGAATTGACACACGTGGGGCTTGTAAGTGTTGGCTAGCGCGTCTTCGCAAGTTCCCAACTACCAGGTCCTGCGTCTGAATCCCCAAAGTGTGCATTAGTGTTTTACTTCTCCACATTTTTGTCAGCGCACCTCAGCAAGTTCGTAGTTCCACCCTTCAACTCTCTGGTGTGTCAGTTTTTAATACTTTTCCTTCTCTTTTATTTTCTATTTTCTGTTTTACTTTACTTTATTTTATTGTTTTTCTATTTCTTTTTCCTATTTTCTTTTTCTTTGATTTTCGTTTTACATTTTTCTAGGATTTAATTGTTTTGTTATGTTCTTGTTTCTTTTGTTTGTTTTCCACACCTTGAGGACAAAGTGTGAAATAAGTTTGGGGTGGGAAATTAAATTTTAGTTTTTTTTTTATTATTGTGTCAGTTTTCATTCTTCTTAATTTAATATCCATAGATTATTTTAAACGTTAGAACAAATGGACAGGGTGAAGGTTAATCCCACAGTAGAGTCTTTTTTATTTATCGTTACTTAGACACTAATTCATGAATTATACTTTGAACTTTGCACATCACATCAACATGGTTTGTGGGGAGTGAGATTGAAACACTTACTTTTAGTCTAAGTTTATTTTTAATTGTTGTTTTTAAGTAAAGTCAGTTATTATTGTGAATAAAGTAATAATTGTCTCACCCGAGGTTTTGCCTAGTAACCGGGCCAGTCCTGCCTAATCAGCAGTGATTCTCACGTCAAATGGTAGAGTTTTGGCATGGGGCAGGGTGGTTAGTTGGTTTCGTAGCCTTTTCAGCTCGGGTTAATAAGTCCTTAAGGGTGTTCTACACCTAGTGCCATAAAACCCTAGTGGTTTGGGAGTCATTGACCTAAAGCTCGCTACATGGGTTGGATCGAAAGCTTAAGTGGACCAACATTGCACGACCACTACTGTTACTGGAAAAAAAAAATAAAGAGAAAAAATTGAAAAGAAAAAGAAAAGGAAAGATAGTTATATTTAAAGTTAGTATGTGTGAAATGAAGAAGGACGAGAGGTAAGAGTTTTAGTCGAGTCTCATTAACTATGTTGGTTCACTTTACACCAAAGGAAGTTTGTGAATTCTTTTCTAATTGATTCTAAATGGCTTAGACTCTGTGGTGGGATTGGTTGGAACTTTTGAAAAAATGTTCTAGTTTTAAAAATTTGCTATGGATTGCAACTTTGAAGGTGAAAATTTTTGCTAGCTAATTTTAGCTAGTTGTCTAGTTTGTTAAGTTTTTATTTTTGTTTGAGTCTTGTTTTGCTTGAGGAAAAGCAAAAAGCTAAGTTTGGGGGTATTTTGATGAGTATATTTTATATTATATATTTTACCCTAATCTTAGTATATTTTGGTTAATATTTTGGAACAATTTTGATACTTTGAATTGTATTTTCAATATAGAACTTTCGACTTCCTCTGGAGCAAAACAGGACCAAATGGATGAATTTTGGAGTAATTCTAGTTGGAAGACATTCGTGAGTCAATCAGCTTGATCGTATCAAACTTTGGGATTTTTCCACCAAGCGGTTATTTTCTGGCGATAAAATAAATGAGCGATGCGCAGTGCTGGAAAATGACGTTTTTTGGCTTAAATTGCATTTTTGGAGCCCAAGATGACCTCAGATGGGTTCGTGGCCTTTTGGAGAAGTGTTCAGAATATTCCAAACATTAAATCCAGCTATATTGGGCCAGTTTTGGAGCAGCTTATGGGTCCAAAACGTGGCTGTTCAGATTTTAGGCGAATTTTACCATTTAATTTAGGGTTATGTTTTCTATTTTATTTTATTATTAATTTTAGTTTCCTAGGGGGAATAAAGGACCTGTTTTTAGGGTTTTGTGTGGAGGCTTAGCAGATATATTGCTTGGCCCAGTTTTTCTCTACGCTTTATTTTATGCAATTTTGGAGATAGAGAGAAGGGCTAGGGTTTTGGAGATTTTCTACTTGAAGGTGTTTTCAATCCTTTTCTTAATAATATTTTCTATGATTTCAATTATGAATATGCGTAACTAATTTCTTTTGCTAGGGCGAAGCCTTGAGCCTTAGCATGAATATGTGATTTTTATTTAATTGCTTATGATTGATTGCATGCATATTTTGAATTATTAATCACCGGGATTAAAACTATTTAATTGTCTTAATGCCTGATCACCATTAGGATCTTTAAAAAAGTAATTTGATGCAATTTTGGTCGAAAGGTTCCCTGAAATTGACGTTGGCTTCTTGTGATTAATAATTGTAATTTCACTTAGGATGAATACCACGTCTTAAGGATTGCATGGTTTTTCAAAGGATTTTCATAAAGCATAATGAGTCTTTCATGTTCAGATTTGATCCCAACGTCCGGACGGGTTGCATGTTAGATATACGTTCTATGTTGGAGGTTCCGAGTAGCATATGAATTAGGAAAATCTAACCTTCAAAGTGGCATGTGTAGATCATAAGTAATTGGTAAAAGTTCATAGGATTGCTAGGTGATGGTGGAACCCTAGTGTTTTCTTAATTTGATTCTCCCAAAACTGTTTTCTTTTCTCTCTAGTTTTAATATTGCAGATTGTCTTATCTTTAATAGTTAAATTCGTTTTTAATTTAATTAGGTTATAAAATCAATCATCTCAACTTCTACATTACAATAATTAAATGGAATCTAATTAGTGTCGAATTATTTAATAATCCCTGTGGAGACAACCTTGCGAGATCTGTTTATACTACAATAACCTTGTGATTCTTGCAAGTAAAATAGGAGATTTAAGCCCGTTCACATGAGTAGTAAAAATCCTATCATGAATCATACCATGGGGTGGCAAAGCTGTAAAAGTTTTAGATTTTAGGGATTGTAGGCAATGTTTGCTTCAAAAGAAGGCTTTGAGGTTGTAGTTGAAGAGCTAGAGGTTTTGTTGAGGAGCAATTGGGTTTGTGCTAAAAAGCAGTTAGGTTGATTAAAGGTTCACGCATGGTTTTGTATAATCGTAGGCAGTGTTTGCTTCAAAGGAAGGCTTTGAGATTCTAGCTGAAGAGCTAAAGGTTTTGCAGAATAGAAGTTGGGTTGATTGAAGATTTACTCAAGGTTTTGTATAATCATAGATGTTAAATTTGATGAAGGTACTGCTCTTGAAGGCTTTTGGCCCTATTTGTAGGCAGTAAAGAATGAGCAACCTTGATCTTATCGTTGAGTTGGAACATAGGTATTCGATCCTTTGGCGCTAACAGTGACTGTAATTCCTAGTTGGTGGCATTCAGTTGTGTCTTATAGTGTTTCACACGATCGCTGCGGTGACATAAGCATGTCGGATGGCGCCTTCATCGTTATTTATGGGGGCTAGATATTCCCGAATCTAGTCATTCGCGTGCAAGGGTAGAGGCATAAAATATTTTATGGGTAGCCTAGCTACAAAAATTATCCTAAAATCAATTTTTTTTTTTTTTGGTACATAGGTATTGTATGCAAAAAATTAAGTTTAACTTATGTATTTGTGTGCTTAAAATTTGCTTGGCATGAACTCAATAAACTTCATAATTGCAAACTACAAAAATTACAATGAATCTTCAAATTTCACATATATTTAGATTTAAACACAAGAAGAACATAGAAAAAAACTTGATATCTCAATTATAACCACACAACTAGCACATAACAAAACACTAAAAGTAGAAGTAAAGGCAATCTTAAAAAAAAATTGGTTGAAACCAGTATAAACCCCACTAAATCAAAGCAGAATAATCTTAAACAAAATGACATCACAATTTCCATGGTAATTTTTATATGTTTAGTTGTGCTAAATATTCACTGGGCCAGTTTCATTAAAAATAATTCTTCTTGCACATTCTTTTGTCTATTATATAGACTATACACCAAAGTATATATATATTGCCACAAACTCTCCTTAGGCTACAACCCACCGTAACCTTTGGTGTGGCTACGCCAGACACGCTTTGAGAAGGAACCTGTCCGAGCCCTTGGATGGGCTGGAGTGTTTCAAAGAGGTTGTCTGAGCCCCAGAATATGATCCTTGATTGGGATTCGAAATTGGTGTGCCAGAGTCATGCAATTTTGTTCAAGCAAAACTTGATTGGCTCCATAATAAGTCTTATTTTTATTTATGGCCCAAAACAGCTAGTAGCCTGAAATAAAGGGTAAGAACATAAATAGTAGAAGTATGATTGACCAAAGAACTATTTTTCAAATTTATGTGATGGAGTAGTAAATCTTGTGATGTTATTTCTTTAAGCAAATCATAATTAATTTAAATCCCACCTCCCCAATATCGTTTGTACATATACAACTAAAATAAGTTACAAATTACTACATGAATTAAGAGAGATTATATGGACAAAATATATATTTTGACAAAAACTCTAACCTTCAAAATATATTTTGACAACAATATATATATATATATATATATATATATATATATATATAT